CGGAAAGAACACTCTCGGTCCCCTCGTGATTTGGATTGACTCATCCCACTACCACCACCGCCGAGGACGCACACGACGCTTCCCCAGACATTCTCGCTCTTCTCAAGGCCAATGGTGTCGAGGGTGCGGTGGTTGAATGGTACGAGGGAGTCGTAGAGAAGCTGTAAGGTAGAGGTCACGACTCACCAGGAACGGGCGCCCCTTATGTAAGCAGACGCCGGCCAACGACGACGGCCGTAATGACGACGACGGCATGAAGGTTTCTGGGATTTGGCCCAGTGGGAAGTGTTGCCAGGACCTGTAGCTACAATTCCTATTGAGCAGAGGTTAGAAATTCCATCACACAGTGAAGTTATAACACTATTTATCAAAAATGGCCCAAACGCATGTTCTCGTCGGGCTGCGCTATCTGGCCAAGCGGGTTTCTGGCAGGGCGCAATTTGGAGGGGCGCTTAAAGGACGCTTATCCAAGAAAGGAAGGCGGGAGGTGAGGCGCCGGGATGTGCCCTGCCAATATGCTAGATTGGCTTGTATGCTTGCTATATACACTTATTCCTATTGATTTGCCACGTTAAAACTACACGGAGTACAGCTTGCATGTCATGAGAATTTAAGCAAGGCCAGGAAATAGCAAAAAGAGGCTGCTTGGTCATTTCTGTATTTCTACCCAAAATACTACCCAAAACCCTACTTCATGCTGGAGTTACTTGAAACTTCGTTACTGCAATATCACTCTGATGAATAATATTCCAAGAGGTGGAGAAGAGTGTGAAGAAGGCCCTAGTAGACAAGGCTTCACTCCTTCAAGCTCAGTGGCTGGTACTTACTTTCATCTCTTGTGGTATCATTCTATTCTCATTGTTCTTGCACAGAAGGGGAAACTGGTGCTGCACATCTCATTTCCTCTTGCTCACAGATTGCGGTGCCTCGACGGCGCGGCAACATGGGCATCGGTGGCACTTTAAATTCAGGAAAAAAAACATGGGCATCGGGCGCTACCAGTGCTGCAGCTTCCTTGAAGGAGAATTTCCAGAAATTAATGACTTGGATGTAAGCATAGGAACCAGAAACATATGTATTCTACCTCTCGACAATCTTGTTGACACCCCAGGCCTGCCTCCAAAATGACCTCGACCGACGACCGCGGATACAGCTCGGATTTGGCCCAGGCATCCTTGCCACGTGCGCTGCTTATGTAAGGGCGTCCGTTCCTGGTGACTTCTACCACACCTTCTGCGCGTCGCCGGCGACACCAACCCCACCTACTATGTCCGTCGCTTCCTCACTGCTGCGCTTGGCATGCTCATCGTTGCGGTGGAGAGGGAGGCTGCTGATGCCCAGGGTAGCGTCGCGTTGTTTATCCACGAGAACAAAGACAAGGGCGGTGCCCTAGTGCCAAGGTCTTCGGCATTAGCAACTGCCACGTTCTCTACAAGGACACCATCGTCGAGTACGAGTTCAAGGCCGCTGGTGCACCTTCCCAGTACGTTCGACTTGCCGGATTCCGTCGATTCCAGCGCGGCCTCAACGAGATCAAGGCCTGCGTCGGTGGCTACGGAATTAACGCCTACCTCTTGGCTAGGGAGATTGCTGAGTTGGCGGCGAAGCCGAAGAGCGAGGACTCGGAGGAGGCGGCGGAGGCCGCCGTGGAGGCTAAGCGGGAGAAGTTGGCCAAAGTGCAGAAGGATATCGGCGTACTCAAGGCTTTCTACAAGGACACCTGCAGCCAGTGGATTGATATTGCGCGCCGAAACATCGGCCACGTCGATTGGGCTCCCGAGATCTCCGTCGACGTCCAGGTTTGCAAGTACACCAAGGATATTAGTACGTTCGAGGTTGATGCAGCGAGGTTCAAGGTCCAGTTCAAGGGTAACATTGTCGACTTAGGTGTGTTTTGCCTCATCTCTCTCATATTTACCTCATCTAATAAAAACAACCTTCAGGATCTAAGTTTACTCCCCGGCAGCTCACCGACGTGTTCTACCCTCAAAGTGGCGGTAGGACGGTGTTCAAGTTCCCCGCGAATCGCCAGCTCAGGATCAACGGTTGTGTCACTCTCGAGCTCCTGGCCGTTCCCGACTGTTTCGACAGCAACGGCAAGCCCTGCCTTATCGTCATGAAGGACGGCAACACCACCGACCTCACGGTTGGACGCTACGCCGGCCTGGAGGCCTACCTTTGCAATAGCATCGGCGTCGAGTCCATCGAACTCGCCATCTAAACTACGATAAG